TAAAAAAGAGGTTTTTGTAATTGGTACATGTTTTGTTAACCCCCCCATAAGAACCATATTCTGACTTTTATTCGGAGAATATCCAACAACAGTTTCCATTGAATGAATAAGAGATCCAGATCCTAAAAACAATAATGCTTTTGAATAAGCATGAGTAATCAAATGAAATAAAGCAGCTCGATAAGAACCCATACCTAGAGCTAACATCATATAACCCAACTGAGACATTGTAGAATAAGCTAAACTTATCTTAATGTCTTTTTGAGCAAGAGCTAAGGTTCCTCCTAGTAGTACTGTTATTATACCTATAAAAGAAATTCCATACATTATGGAAGGTAGAATTAGGAAAAGAGGCAGCAGTCGAGCAACTAAAAAAATTCCCGCGGCGACCATGGTAGCAGCATGGATGAGAGCTGAAATAGGAGTAGGCCCCTCCATAGCATCAGGTAACCATACATGAAGGGGAAATTGGGCCGATTTAGCAACTGCACCGGCAAATAACAAGAAAGCACATAAAATACAAAATAAAGAATTCACCTCGTTATTATTAATTAAATTTTTAAATATTTCAAACAAATCTCGAAACTCGAAACTGCCTGTTATCCAATAAAAACCTAAAATTCCTAATAATAAGCCAAAATCTCCTACACGATTAGTGACAAACGCTTTTTGACAAGCATTTGCGGCAATAGGGCGTGTGAACCAAAAACCTATTAATAGATATGAGCACATTCCAACTAATTCCCAAAAAATATAAATTTGGATTAAATTCGAACTAGTAACTAATCCCAGCATAGAAGTATTGAAAAAACTCATATACGCAAAAAATCTCAAATATCCTTGATCATGAGACATATAATTATCACTATAAATAAGAACCAGAATTGCAACAGTAGTTATTAACATTGACATAATAGAAGTAAGTGGATCTATTAAGTAGCCAAATTCTAAAGAAAAATCATTATTAATCGTCCAAGACCATAAATATTGATAAATAGAATTATTATTTATTTGTTGAATAGCCAGCTTCATGGAAAAAAGCATAACTATACTTAATAACAAAATACTCGAAAAAGCCCATATACGTCGAAGATTTTTTGTTGCCATCGGAAAAAATAAAAGTCCAGATCCTATTAACAAAGGAACTAGAAGTGGAAGGAAAGGTATAATCCATGCATATTGGTATATATGTTCCATAATATACTAGAATAGAAAATTTTTCTATTTAATTAATTTAAATTATTTTGTTTACCATTCACTGGCTCTTGTCTCTTTTGAAAGAAGTCGGTCAATAAACAGAACTTTTCGAAGCCTATGAAGTAGGAAACTAAAAAAAATTTCCCTTTTATTTCCATTTAAGTTATTTCAAATATATATTTAAAACATCCAAATTCGACTAAAAAAGACTATGAATCAGAAAATCGACTAAATATCTACTAAAGTCAATAATGAAAAAAATAAATTAATTATTAATTAAATTAAAATAATTTATTTATTCTGTAGTTTATTTCGAATTATTACCTGATTTTTTGCAAAATGGTTTAATTGTCTTTCATTCCAACCAAAACTGTAGAAAAAAGTCTTTTTAGTAATTATTTCTTTTTTTCGATATTCTTTTTTAGAATATCTGTTACTTTACTTTTTAGTTTCTATAACATAGAATAAAAAAATGCCTCAAATTATAGATCTTTTAAACAAATTCATTTATTGGGATCATTTCACTTTGCAAAGAAATAAATAAAAGTTTTTCAATTAAGATAGGGGTGCATCAAATTTTGAATGTGATTTATCACGTACATCGAAATTGAATCCACCACATGAAAAATAAACAGGGATATAACTCGAAATTAGTATTCATTATTAAATTTTAATTAATCTTACTCGATTTCATACGAATTTTTTTATGGACATTCTAGGCAGGAGAATTTTTAGTTTCTCCTAATCAAATATTTTCGATTAGTTCTATCGAAATATAGAAAATTTATTTCTAGTTTCTATTTATAGTTATCCTTGTCAATTTTTTATTAAAAAAAAGATATCACCTAGAATCTAAATACATAGATAATTAATAGAAAATACGAATTCATTTGAACAATAGATGTCTTTCACATCCAACTATAACACTGAATAATGAATTTTTTCAATTTTAAATGGCAGTTCCAAAAAAACGTACTTCAATTTACAAAAAGCGTATTCGTAAAAATATTTGGAAAAAAGGGGGGTATTGGGCGGCATTAAGAGCCTTTTCGTTAGCAAAATCTCTTTCTACCGGGAATTCGAAAAGTTTTTTTGTACGAAAAATAAGTAATCAAACCTTGGAATAATCGAAATCGACCTGACTAAAAAAAATGGTATAACAAATTCGAAAAAATTCCATTTTTCGTTTAGAATCAAAAAATCGAAAATAAAGGATTTAGGGAGGTTTGTATTTATAAATTACTATTTTTTTGAACTAGAAAATTTTGTAACTTTTTCTTATGATATGGAGAATAAGAAATCTTATTGACAACACTAACATAGTACTTTATGTTTTTTGTTGAAAAACTATCGATATATAGATTATATATCGAAGATTTCATCAACTTCTTTTTTTATTTTAGTTTATTATTTAAAAGATAAAAGATGGGGATTTTTTTCCCCATCAACCTCATTTTTTTGACAAAAAAATGAAAAGTTTTCTCGACTTATAGAATTTGTAGATTTTATAAAAAAGGGCAAATCAAAAACGGTTAAACGGTAACTTACAGAAGCATTATTTCTCGAAATTGCTTTATTATATATTCGTCCGGTTTAAATCAATCAAAAAATCCTTTCGTTTTTTTAGACGCAAATTTTTTTTAATACGTTTCCATAGGGATCAAAACTTTTTTATATGAAATATTCAGTTCAATACTTAAGAAGAAAAATTCTACCGATTAATTGCTTTTTTTGGATAAAAAACTATCTATTTACAGAAAAGAAAGTCCCTCGATCTCGTGTTGAAATTGAGAGCTAAAATATTCGATTTTTTATGTATTGAAAGGGTCTATATATTTGTTATTTTTGAAATCCGCTAAAAAATTTAATTTATCTCATTACTAACTGAAAAGAAAATGAGAAAGAACTTTGTTGAGGTCTATCCTGGAATGCAAGGAAGAATTTTCTAGTTAGAGAGGTTTCAGTTCATGAAAACATAAACTACATGAGAGTCCATTGACAGATTAAAGCAGTCTTATGAAAAAAAATTCACGAAAAATAACAAAAAACCTTAAGTAATATATAATTATTACTATGAATATGAACCATTTCAATTCGTGAATAAAAAAGAATTTGCAAACCGAACTGGTTCGAAAAAAATGTTGGATTGAATTAATCTCGACGATTGACTAAAAACGGGTTATTATGATTTCAAACAAGCCGCTATGGTGAAATCGGTAGACACGCTGCTCTTAGGAAGCAGTGCGAGAGCATCTCGGTTCGAGTCCGAGTGGCGGCATGCCATCTTACAAATTCTCACAAAATTTCAGAAGTCCTATAACCTAAAATAAATAATGAAAATGAAATAATTTTTTTTCTTAATTTCCGTTTCATAATTTGTAATTGAAGGATTTTTTTATTTATATATTCTATATGATATTATCGACTTTAGAGCAGATTTTAACTCATATTTCCTTTTCGATGGTTTCCGCAGTAATTATACTCCATTTGATAACTTTATTCGTCAATGAAATAGTAGGACTATATAATTCATTAGAAAAAGGCATGATAGTTACTTTTTTCTCTATAACAGGGTTATTAGTTACTCGTTGGGTTTATTGGAAGCATTTGCCATTAAGTGATCTATATGAATCATTAATATTCCTTTCTTGGAGTTTATACCTTATTTATATGATTCCCCTTTTTTTTAAAAAAGAGAAAAACTCTTTAAGTACAATAACCGCACCAAGTGCTATTTTTACCCAAGGATTCGCTACATCGGGTCTCTTAACTGAAATGCATCAATCCGGAATATTAGTACCCGCTCTCCAATCCCAGTGGTTGATGATGCATGTAAGTATGATGGTATTGGGTTATGCAGCTCTTTTATTCGGATCATTATTATCTGTAACACTTCTAATCATTCTATTTCAAAAAGATATTATAAGGGTTTTTGATAAACGAAACCTTTTATTAAATGAGTCATTTTTCTTCAGTGAGGTTCAATACATAAATGAAAAAGGCAATATTGTACAAAATGTTTCGCCCTCCTCTGTTCGAAATTATTACAGGTCCCAATTGATTGAACAACTGGATCATTGGAGTTATCGTGTTATTAGTCTAGGATTTATCTTTTTAACCATAGGTATTCTTTCAGGAGCAGTATGGGCCAATGAGGCATGGGGATCATATTGGAATTGGGACCCAAAGGAAACTTGGGCATTTATTACTTGGACCATATTTGCAATTTATTTACATATTCGAACAAATAAAAATTTTCGAGGTGCAAATTCTGCAATTGTGGCTTTTATAGGCTTTCTTATAATTTGGATATGCTATTTTGGGGTTAATCTATTAGGAATAGGGCTACATAGTTATGGCTCATTTACATTAACGCTTAATTAAAGGGAAGAAAGGACCTTATGAATACAGATTATAGTACAAGTCATAAGCAAGTTTCTTAGAAACAGGTGAGAACCATTTAAATCATGATTTAAATGGTTCTCACAAACATCAAAAATGACTGATTAGAATTCCAATTTTGTCTTCCTTCGTCTTATGTAAAGAAGACTGCTTTTTTCATTTCATTAAATGAAAGGAAATCTATCTATAAAAATAATTGGATAAAATAGCTTCTACTTTTTCAACTGATAGTGAGAGAACGAAATCCGGGTAAATCCCAATACCTATTACTGGTAAAAAGATAGCAGTCGAAACAAACAACTCTCGCGGCCCAGAATCAAAAAAAAAAGAGTTGGAAATGTTAAATAATTTATATCCATAGAACATTTGACGTGACATAGATAATGAATAAATAGGAGTTAATATGATTCCAATTGCCATTCCAAAAGTAATTAGTATTTTTGGTATTAAAAGATATTTTTGGCTGGTAATTAGTCCAAAAAATACTATTAATTCCGCAATGAAACCACTCATGCCGGGTAATGCAAGAGATGCCATTGAAAAGCTACTGAAGAGTGTGAATATTTTTGGCATTGGAATCGCTATTCCACCCATTTCATCGAGAAAAACAAGGCGTATTCTATCGTAACTAGTTCCTGCTAAGAAAAAAAGCGCAGCACCAATAAATCCATGCGAAATTATTTGTAAAATGGCCCCATTAAGGCCGGTATCGGTTATAGAACTAATTCCTATAATTATGAAACCCATGTGAGATACGGAAGAATAGGCTATTCTTTTTTTTAAATTACGTTGCCCAGGAGATGTTGAAGCTGCATAGATTATTTGTATTGTGCCTATTATCATCAACGAAGGAGAAAATATAGAATGAGCGTGAGGTAATAATTCCATATTGATCCGAACCAACCCATACGCTCCCATTTTTAATAAGATTCCGGCTAGCAGCATACAAGTACTATAATGTGCTTCTCCGTGGGTATCGGGTAACCATGTATGTAAAGGTATAATCGGTAATTTGACAGCAAACGCAATAAAAAATCCAATATAGAATATTATTTCTAATGACACAGGATACGATTGATTAACTAATGTTTCTAAATTTAATGTTGGTTCATTGGAACCATATAAACCAACACCCAGAACTCCCATTAATAGAAAAATAGAACCCCCCGCAGTATACAAAATAAATTTCGTAGCGGAGTAGAGACGTTTCTTTCCCCCCCACATGGATAAAAGTAGATAAACAGGAATTAATTCTAATTCCCACATTATGAAAAAAAGTAAAAGATCTCGGGACGAAAATAATCCTATTTGACCACTGTACATTGCTAACATCAAGAAATGGAATAATCGCGAATCTCGAGTAACTGGCCAAGCGGCTAGAGTAGCTAAAGTCGTAATGAATCCTGTTAGTAAAACAGGTCCTATCGAAAGTCCATCGATTCCTAATCGCCAATGGAAATCAAAAAAGTTGATCCATTTATAATCTTCGCCCAGTTGGATTAATGGATCATCCGGTTGGAAATGATAACAAAATGCATAAGTTATTAGAAGGAGCTCCAAAACCGAAATGCATATAGTATACCACCTTATAATCTTATTCCCTCTCTGAGGAAATACGAAAATTAAAGAACCTGCAAATATGGGCAAAATTACAATTGTTGTTAACCAGGGAAAATAATTCGTGGTAAAGACAAGATATACTTGGACAAAAAACCCGTACCCCAAAAGAAATAAATTTCGTTTTTGGTACGGATTTTTGTCGGTAAAAAAAATCCAAATAGAATAAATGGATTCAAATGGAATTTTCTGAATTATATCAATAACCTAGACCCATACTGCGAGTGGTTTCATGCCATAGATAAACTCGAACGCTTAAAAAATCCGTTGGACAAGCGGATTCACATCTCTTACAACCGACACAATCTTCTGTTCTTGGAGCAGAAGCTATTTGTTTCGCTTTACATCCATCCCAAGGTATCATTTCTAATACATCCGTGGGACAAGCTCGGACACATTGAGTACACCCTATACATGTATCATAAATTTTAACTGAATGCGACATTGGGTCTAGAATTTTTTTTTCACTTGATTAATTTTCGATCTAGTTCTAGTAAAAAAAATGAAATACATATTCAAATACTAGACGAATCAATAATTTCCCAGAATTTTTGGAATCAACCTATTTCTGGATAGGAAATGGAAAAGAGATCCAAAATACTTTGATTTATTACACTTTATGAAAGTATACCTTAAGGTGCAAGATCTAGTAATCTAATTTGAATTGCTGAATATTCAAATTTTAATTTCTAAAATCGAATTTGTGAAAATTCTAATAAAATTAAAAAAAGAAATACTATTTATTTAATAAATTCGATTGATTGATACGAGTTGATTTTCTGTTACGATAAATTGAAGAAACAATAGCCGGTCCAATAGCTGCTTCAGCGGCTGCAATGGCTATAACAAAAATTGAGAAAATGCTTCCTTTTAATTGGCGATTATCAAAAAAATCAGAAAATGTTACAAAATTTAGATTAACTGCATTCAATATAAGTTCAAGACACATAAGAGCTCGAACCAAATTGCGGCTCGTGATTAATCCATAAATCCCGATAGAAAATAAAAAAGCACTCAAAACAAGTACATGCTCGAGTATCATTGACCAACCCCTTATGAATCATGATTCATTTCAATATGAACAACAATTAAACTACTTTGATTGACTAGAATATAACAAGTTAAGTTAGAATTTCAGTTAGAATTAAGAACAAAAACTAGGCTAATAAAAAATTTGTTGAACTAAAAGTTTCGAAAGGAATTCATGAATGAAAATGCAAAAAATAGACTTTTTATTTGGATTACTCGTTTTAAAAAAGAAATATTATTATTGACGAGCCACGGAAATTGCACCTATTAAAGCAACTAAAAGAATTATTGAAATGAGTTCAAATGGAAGAAAAAAATCGGTTGATAAATGAATTCCAATTTGTTGACTAGCATTTATCAAATCTTGTTCTAGAATCAGGTTTGATTTTGTAGTCCAAATAATACCATACCAGGACGTATTTATAATAGTAATAATTAATGAAACAAAAAGACTTATACAAACCAATGAAGTAACCCCGTCCCCAACAGTCCACAGATGAAACTTTTTGTCATATTCTGGGCCATTCATGAACATTACAGAAAATATGATTAATACATTTATAGCTCCCACATAAATAAGGAGTTGTGCAGAAGCTACAAAATGGGAGTTTGCTAGAATATAGAATAAAGATATACACACAAGAACCAATCCCAATGAAAAGGCCGCAAAAATTGGATTGGTAAATAATACCACTCCTAGCCCCCCTAATATAAGACCCAACCCCAAAAAAATTAAAAGAAAATCATGTATTGGTCCAGGTAAATCCATTATATATAAAATAAGAGATAAAAAAATCGGAATGTTTCATGATCTTATTGATGTGAACAGGAAAAAGAAGTTTATGCGCTCCTAATTGGGAAATCCTAATGTGTATGACTTGATGTGAATAAAGTAAAGTTGTTGGGCCTTTGATATTCTTTTTTAGCTGAAAGGGTCGTTACTCTTTAAAATCATTGGAGTAAATCAATTTTAAATACTACTAAAGTTGCGATTTTCACCAATAAATAAGAATAATCAGAATTTCTAGTTATTGAACAAGAATATAAAATAGCTTTAATTTAATAGGTGGAAATTGCTCTTCAATCACGGGCTTGCTCTGGCGAATTCAAAATTGTTCGAATTGTGTAATCGTCGATTATTGATATTGGTAAACGACCTAGAGCAATTTGATTATAATTTAATTCGTGACGATCATAAGTAGAAAGCTCATATTCTTCAGTCATTGATAAACAATTTGTTGGGCAATACTCAACACAATTACCACAAAATATACAAATTCCGAAATCAATGCTGTAATTAAGCAACTGTTTCTTTCGAATATCCATTTGCAATTTCCAATCAACAACAGGCAAATCTATAGGACATGCACGAACACACACTTCACAAGCAATGCATTTATCAAATTCAAAGTGAATTCGACCACGAAAACGCTCCGATGTGATCAATTTCTCATAAGGATATTGAATAGTTACAGGTAAACGATTAGCGTGGGATAGGGTAATCATAAAACTTTGACCGATGTACCTTGCTGCCCGTATTGTTTGTTGACCATAATTGATGAACCCAGTTACCATAGGGAACATAGAGTAAATATCAATAAAAAATAAGATTTTTTTCTTTCTCTTGTTTCTGACAAGTTGTAAATTAGATTATAGTAAATATTCTTTGTTTTTAGAATTTATAATGAAAAGAGTTGGGAAGAAGTTGTTAATAATAGATTACCTAAAGAAATAGGTAAAAGAAATTTCCATCCAAGATTTAATAATTGGTCCATTCTCAGTCGAGGTAAAGTCCATCTTGTTGCGATAGAAATGAACAAGAACAAAAAAGTTTTAGCTAATGTAATGAAAATACAAATTGTCGTTCCAAAGACTCCATCTATTTTAAAAAACTCAGAGATGAATATGGATGGAATAGGGAGATTCCAACCGCCCAAGTAAAGAACGGTTACAAATAATGAAGAGATTAATAGATTTAAATAAGACGCAACATAAAATAAAGCAAATTTAATACCGGAATATTCGGTTTGATAACCCGCTACTAATTCTTCTTCGGCTTCTGGTAAATCAAAAGGTAATCTCTCGCATTCTGCTAGAGAAGAAATTATAAAAACAATAAACCCTATGGGTTGTCGCCACAAATTCCATCCCCAAAAACCATATTTTGACTGTGCCTCAACTATATCAACTGTACTTGAACTGTTAGATAATTATAGTCGAAGATAAGATCACCCTTGTCATCGCTATTCCAGAACCGTACATGAGATTTTCACCTCATACGGCTCCTCAAGAGCCATAAATAAATCTAAGGATTAATTCGATATTCTTTAATCTTGATATGCTTGTAGGATAACGAAAGTGAAAATAAATCGAAAAATCCTGAATTAGACCAATAAAATTCTGTCTGCTATACTATAAAAAATTGCTTCGGAATTGATCTCATCCTTTACTTAAATTTTGAAGAATTTCCTTTTTATTGAGTAATAACTTAATTCTTGAATAAAAAACACTTTTTACTAATTTTACTAAATATCAATTATCAATAAAAATTTCGCCGTATTCTTATTTTTTTTTTATTATATTCCGAAAAAAGGAAACATTCATTCATGATTTATGCTATGATCAAAATGGAATTTCCGTGAATATCGATATTGGAAAAAGATCTTTTTTTTGGATTCTATTACTATAATATCCCTTTTTTTTCGTCCCTCTTATTTCTTTTATTCAGTGGGAAAAGTAAAAGATTACTTCGTTCCTGATAGTCATTCATTTAATCGGTGGATAGGAGCATACTCTGGATCGAAATTTGTGGGAGTACTGCTTGATCATTTCTACAAATTTAAAGCCTCAATTAGTATTTCTTTTATGTAAAAATCTTTCTTCAGATAACTTACATAATCTCTATTACAAATCCTTTGTGTACTTTGGTGTTCCTAATCATCCACTTTTTTGGTCAATTTCTATGGTAAGTCATGTATGGTAATACATCAAAAAAAAAAGATAGTAAAAACTTCATAGAATTGTTCTTTTCAACCCGCTTCAAGTAATGATGACTAATTAACCAATATTGGGGGAAATAACCTTGACTGTTTATGTTTTTAACCCTTGTACATAGGCAATGAGATTCAATTTTTTACTGCAAATTTCGAAGCTGTTTTCTTTCACTCATCTAACTATCTGATTTACTTTAATCAACCCGCCCCGTGAATAAAAAAAAGATCCTATTCAATACATTTTTCTTTTTAGAAACTTAAAAATAAACAGGGAAGGGTGAAGACCCATGTTTTAACGAATCACACGTAGCGATATTGATAATACAGATAGAGTTAATGGTATTTCATAACTAATTGATTGGGCAACAGCCCGTAAACCACCTAAAAAGGAATACTTATTATTTGATCCATATCCTGACATAAGAAGTCCAATGGGAGCAATGCTTGAAATAGCGATCCATAAAAAAACACCAATATTGAGATCGGCTAGAACAAGGCGAGAACCAAAAGGAATTACTGAATAACTTAGTAGAATTGATATGACTGCTATAGAAGGTCCGATACTAAATAAAAGTGCATCCCCTCTAGATGGAAGAAGGTTTTCTTTAAAAAGTAGTTTTATTCCGTCCGCTAGAGCTTGAAGAATTCCCAAAGGACCAGCATATTCAGGTCCAATCCGTTGTTGTATCCCTGCAGATATTTCTCTTTCTAACCACACAATTACTAGTACACCTATGGTAATTCCCAATACAAGAATCAAAATAGGGAAAAGGATCCATGTAGTCTCATAAACCGCTTTTAAGGATTCCAATCTGGAAAAAGAATTGATAGCTTGTACTTTTGTTGTTGTATCAATTATCATTTCAACGATCAACCTCTCCCATAATGATATCTATGCTACCTAATATCGTCATAATATCAGCCAATTTCATTTTTTTAACTAACTGAGGAAGAATTTGCAAATTGATAAAACCCGGAGGGCGAATTTTCCATCTCCAAGGAAAAATACTCTGATCTCCGATCAAAAATATCCCTAATTCACCTTTTGGTGCTTCGACTCTTACATAAAGTTCTTGTTTCGACAATTCAAAAGCAGGAGATGGCTTTTTACTAATGAATCGATATTCAAAATCATTCCATTCAGGATATTTTATTCTATTAAAGCGTCGGATTTCTAAATTCTCATAGGGACCTCCTGGAATTGCTTCTAGAGCTTGTTGAATAATTTTTACAGATTCGGCCATTTCACCGATTCGTATTAAATAACGAGCTAATGAATCTCCTTCTTTTTGCCATTGAACTTCCCAATCAAATTCGTCATAACATTCATAATGATCCACTTTACGAAGGTCCCATTGTATTCCGGAAGCTCGTAGCATAGGGCCCGATAAACCCCAATTTTTTGCTTCTTCGCCACCAATAATGCCCACATTCTCAACTCGTTCTAAAAAAATGGGATTTCGCGTAATAAGCTTTTGGTATTCAGCAAGTCCTATTAAAAAATAATCACAAAAATCTAAACATTTCTCTATCCATCCATAAGGTAGATCGGCAGCTACCCCTCCAATACGAAAATAATTATGCATCATTCTCATACCGGTGGCAGCTTCGAATAAATCATATATTAATTCCCTTTCTCTGAAAATATAGAAGAAGGGGGTTTGCGCCCCGATATCCGCCATAAAAGGGCCGAGCCATAATAAATGAGAAGCTATTCGACTTAACTCCAACATAATCACTCGAATATAGCTAGCTCTTTTAGGTACTTGAATATTTCCCAATTGTTCTGGTCCATTTACAGTTATTGCTTCTGTAAACATAGTAGCTAAATAATCCCAACGTGTTACATAAGGCAGATATTGTATAATTGTTCGGTTTTCTGCAATTTTTTCCATACCTCTGTGTAAATAACCTACTATTGGTTCACAGTCAATAACATCTTCACCGTCTAAAGTAACGATGAGTCGGAGAACACCATGCATTGATGGATGGTGAGGGCCCATATTGACTATCATGAAGTCTTTTCTGGTAGTTGGTACAGTCATAGGTTTTTCTCCGATTCATTCTTTCACAAATTCATTTTTGCATGAATTGCTGAAAACAACAAGGTATTCATCAAAATTCAAGATCTAATAAATCAAATAATTATAATTCAAAACAACTCTTCACATTAACGTGTTTTTAGTTCTCGAATGTTCAATTGACTTATTAATTCTTTATAACGTATTTCATTTTTCTTTGACAAATAAGCTAGCAGTCGTTGACGTTTTCCCAGAATTTTTCGTAGCCCTCGCTGAGATGAATAGTCTTTTTTGTGCAATTGCAAATGGGAAGTAAGTCTTCGTATCTTATTGGTAAAACCGACTACTTGAAATTCAACAGACCCTCTGTTTTCTTCTTTTTTTTCCTCCGAAATAACGGATATGAATGAATTTTTTTTCATAAATTCTTAACCTTCCTTACCTGTTTTAGCAAATATTGAATTTTACCGATCAGTAATAATAATGCCAGCTATTTTAATCTGGTATATACAATACCTTAATTGATTTATTTTATCAAAGAAACTTTGAAACTTTATAAGGTTTATTATGTTGATTCATTTCGGATATAGTGGATACGTCATCGAATTAGTATCATGGATCGGAATTGAATGTACAACAGCGTGGCTATGTATCTATTTATCTACCAAATAATAGGAAATCAAATGTATCATAAATCAATTTAAAATTGCGGATACATATGTATTCTTAACATACTAAAACGACTTCCGTTAGTAGTATCAAACCAATAACGATTCATACAAGCTAAATCCTCTAATCGATAATTGGGCCAAAGAAAGAATTTTAATTTTTTAAGTCTATTTTTATCTCGATCAAGATCTTTGTTTTCATCAAAAAATTGACTACAGTTTTTTATTCGATTCTCTATTGGGTTTAAATTCACACCATTATCGTTCCTTGAATTCAAACAAATTCGAATTCTTAACTCTCTACGACGCCTAGGCGATAAAAGATTTTCGGGAGGAAACAAATCAAAATTGTTTTTGTCTCTTTTACCTAAAAATTTTTTATCACCATTCTCACTGTATCGTTTTTGATTATTGTGGTGTTTACTCTTATGAACTAACGAAATCCCTATGGTTTGATACAGAAGAAATTGCCCGTTGCCTTTTATAGCCAGACGAATCGGTTCAATAATCAATACCCCGTTTTTTAGCAAATTTGAACGAGTTAAATCTTTCCGATCCAGCATTATATCCATACTCAGTTCTTTTCTTTCTATCGAGGATAGAAGAATTTCTATTGGATTTATCAATCGAAGCACAAGACAATATACTTTGATATTATTGATCAGCTTTTGATTTAAAGAATCTGCCCATTTCAACTGAAAAAGCAAATATCTTTTCAGGAATAAATCAATTTCTACTTCTGTACCCCTCGTGGGTTGCTTTTTCTTTCTCGGCTTTTTCATATCTGATCCTATATAATCTTCTTCAATATCTGTTTGTGCATTTGAGAAAACAGATTCAGAGTTTTCGTGAACATCGGATCCAAGATTTTCTTGACTTATGAGTTCCTTTTCATCTTCATTCTGATTCTTTAATTCAAAATATATTTTTTCATTTGATGGTATAAAAGAATTTATTTTTTTATGTCTATTGATGCTTTTATCTTCACTAACCTTTTCACTTACACTATAATTTGAAAAAAGCAGGTTAATTGGTATAACCCACGGTTTCATTTTATATGCATTATAAAATAAGACAAATTCGGAGAAAAACCAAAATTCCAAATTTGATATGGGACAGCTCAGTATTTCTTCATTCATTCCCATCCAATCAAAAAAATTTTTTTTTTTATCAGGTTGGCTGATTTCTTGATAAATTGTGCGATAAAAAAGACTTTTCTTATCAATTTTATCAACAATTTGATAGTTCTTAGATTCAGTTTTTGTTTTTTCATTCATGCTAGTACTGATATTGACCCAGGTCTCAACGTCGACTTTTTTTCTAAGACAAAAATGGAGAATTTTCAAATCCAAATATTTTCTATCTATCGTTTTTTCTCTATCCAAAATAGTTTTTCTTCCTAAAAAAAAATAATTAGTGATCGGGATATTCCACGCCATGTCAATAAATTTGTCTTTAGTTTTGTTGTAATTAGAAGTATAAGAAAATTCTTGGTTTTTATTTCCTTGGAATGGTATTCCATAACTATACCTATATGAATCATTCTTATCTTCATAAAAAAAAAAATTATATGATAAAACATCATATCTATAATTCTTTTTAAAATTCGATTTTTGATCTGGCAATAACAATAAACGGTTTTCAGAATTATTTGTGTAATTAATTAATTGTTCTTTTTGATATGAATTCGTTTTGCTTTTTTCGAAATTTTTATTTTCAACCTCACAGTGTTCAGTTACTCTATTTCGCCATTTTTGTGGCACTAATTGCGACCATTTTATCTGAGATAAATCGTATTGATAATTATTTTTCAATTTTAGCCAGTTTTTCCATTGGTTCAGCCCAGAATTCGGAAGTTTTCTAGTCTTTAGCTCGGGATGAGCTATTCCTTGGGTTCCAAAAAGATCTTTTATTTCATTTTTAAGAAATAAAGATATTCCCCGATACTGAAGGACCGATTTTAATCCATATAAGTTCAAAATTTTGGCTTGGGATAATTTGTAAAATACATAAGCTTGTGACAACAAAGAAAAATCCGACGGAATCTTCGAATTCTTATTACTAATATTATTATTAGTACTAACAAAATGGAAAAATCCTTTGTTTATAGTCCAAATAAACTGAATTTTTTTTTTATTATTAATCTTTTCAGGATTTTTTGCATTATTGGAAATGGATTTTTCAATTACATTTTTTGTTGATTCAAGAAAACGTTGTGTATTAATTCTGGAAATATTAATGATATATAAAAATATATCTACGTATATCTTTTCCCTAAAAAATTTCAAAATATAATTGAATTTACGGATTAATCGAACATTGCTTCTTTTTAATATATGACTCGTATTTTTTGACGATTCCCATTTTTTCGTACCATATGGTGTTTTGGTAGGACTAACCTTTAGTTTTTTATTGTCTTTTGCTATTTTTTCTATTTGATTTTTGATTATTCTTGTTCTACTAGTCAGATCTTTCATTTTTTTTTCTGTCGCTGAAGGATTTGTCCAATTTAGGAATCCGGTTTGAATAGATGATTCATTAATCATATGATTTTTGATTAATGAATCTTTTTCATTTTTTCTTTTACTCGATTCTTCTCTCAATCCAAATAGTCGAATTGGATTTACGTTTGACATTTTTTTTTTTATTTTTTTTAAAAACAGAAATATTTCAACAATCCAATTGTTTGTTTCATTTTCGAACTTAAAAAAAAAAAGAATTTTTTCTTTGAGTCTTTTTCGAATTTGAAAGTGCCCTTTTAGAAGTTTTCGAATTTTTTTGTCGAGTTGTTTAAAAATAGGTTGAAAAAAAGAGGGCCGCTTTCGAGGAGGACCAAAAGGAAGGTCAGTTTCCAGGCCCACAACTGTTAAAAAACAAAACTCATCTATTCGATTTCGTTTTTGTTCGTTTTTTTTTATTCGATCTTGATCAGACGGTTGTATTATAGATCTGTGCCAAGGTTTTAGACAGAAAGGAAATAATATCTTTATCTGAATACCATCTGTTAACCAGTTTTTAGGAAATTCAGTTTCTGATAATTGAACGCCGTTATAGGTGCATTTAACATGCATTTCGCTATTCCACTCTTTGAAATCATCCGACCACTCGGGTCGTTGGAATAATAACAGACGACTGAAATTTTTTGCTATTATCAATAAAGGCAATAGAATATATTTTCTAAGAATTGACTGAGTTATTAGCATCAAACCTCTTATTATTTGAGCAAATGGAATAGTATCCCAGGCTTCGGCTATTTCTATTCGTATGTTTTCTTGGCTTTTGTCGTCGTTTTTATTGTATTTTTTATTTTTATTTTCCTCCTTCAATTCTTCGTTTTTATAATCAGAAATCCGCAATTCTGAGTTTTGTCCCATACAATTTTTTAAAATCCCTTTAATTAATCCGGAAAAAGTAGCCGAAAAAAAAGAGGATTTATCTATTCTGTCTAAAAAAAGCGGAGAATGTATATTTGGTTGAAACAATTCCCAAATAACTATTTTACGTCTTTGAACACGCATGGAACCTATGATTATTTCTCGACGAAAATCAGATTGTTGTGAATAACGTATCAAAGAAACTTCACCTGCTTGCTCAGATATATCCGCGGTATTTGGGGCAGGATTGTCGGTATTCTCTTGCTTATCGGTATAAATAACTACACTTTTCCAATTTCTTGAGCGAATTTGATCATCGATTGGCACCGACACGTCTTTTTCATCTGGTCTATCCTCTGGTTCTAAATCGTCGACTAATTGGTATGACCAACGAGGAACCTCTTTACTTATTTCTTTTATTCCAATCGATTCTTTTGGAATTGTTTGGGGAAAGGAATCCGGTCTGATTGTATCAACTAAAAATTTTAAAAATCTTTCTGGATCTTCGGAAACAATTTGTTCGTGTTTTGAAAGTAAAGACACTCTCTTCTGATTGAACGTGGCTTCCCCGTCAAATTGACTAACGAAATGTCTAATTTTTGCTGATATTGAGTTTTGATCTTTTTTATGTTCAAATTCTTGGTAATTAGAATCATTATGTAGAACACTATGAATTTTATTTATAAAAATCTCATCTATTAAATTTTTTACTGTCGTTTTCGTTATAATGGATGAAAGCCTTTTTTTTATTATACCCCGATAGGATCCATTTAATAAAGGATCGTGGTTTTTTTGCAAATATTCAATTTTATTTTTAGTTTTATCATTGCATAATCTAGTTTTTTTATCGAGTACATCTATATAAAAAAGTCCTTTGTCTAGAACTGTAATTCTATTAGCAAATTCATTGCTTAAGCTGTTTTTTTTTTGTTCGTTCGTATAAATCCAATAATTGTATAGTTCATCATCATATAAGAATTTTTCTGTTGTAGCCAAAGAAATCTTTCTTTTTATCATTTCCCAGAAAATGGATAAACTAGGTGGATATGTAAAAGAAATTCTTTGTTTTCCATCATTTTGACATGTATAAAAAAAATATTGTGACATTTCATTTCTTACCGCATTTTCAAACCGATTGCTTTTTATATATCGCGTTGGACGATTCCAACGTTTATAGTCGAAAAGAAGAAAAAGAAGGG